TACCATCTCACATAGACGTTAATTTCTTATGTTCTCTCCCATCTGCAGAAAGTGTCTGCACAAGGAGTGGTGTACCTGCACCATTGTAGCAATTCTAGTTAGATTGTCACACAGTAAGTCACTGATCAGAGGGGTAGCCGTGTTAGTCTGAATCTGCAAAAGCGACCAGGAGTCCTGTGGCACCTTATAGACTAACTGAAGTGTAGGAGCATAAGCTTTCGTGGGCAAAGACCCACTTCGTCATGCATCTGACGAAGTGGGTCTTTGCCCACGAAAGCTTATGCTCCTACACTTCAGTTAGTCTATAAGGTGCCACAGGACTCCTCGTCGCTTTAGTAAGCCACTGGCAGAGCAAAAACAGAATGCTGGTCTCAATCTGGTGCTGTTTTCCCTGGATTATGAAGCCTCCCAATGGAGTGGAAGGACAGTGTGGAGAATAGAGGCTGTGAAATACCAGTATCCCTTCCCAGACTATGCAGTCATCAGTAGCCCTTCTCCTGCTGACTATCTGAGCTGAGTAAGGGGTTTGGTGTGGAGTGGCATAAGGGAATGGCTGCTCTATACAGCCCTACTCCCCACTCCCAGCATATTAGAAAGTCCACACCTCTGCATGATAGTACAACAACCCAGATAACTCTGAAGCTTTGATGGCATGCCTGGGAAGCATGTATATAAAAGGAATTTTTCAACGTATACTTTCTCCTTTATGATCTCACATCTTTGGTCTTCAAATGTCCCATATTCCCTTGCACCAATGCCATCCGATCAGTTTCTCTTAAGAAAGCATGTAGCTGCACTGTATGACTGGAAATTTCATGTCATTTTGTAGTGTCACCTTTCCCCCTTTTAATATCGGAAGGGAATATGAGCTTCAAGTTAAAAAATATTATTGACTTTCTGGTTGTGAAGAGCTTTAAGGCCATTGTAAAGATTGCATTGAGGGCATGCTGCTTTAAAAAGGGATGTATAGTCAGCTTTTATCTATAGTAATGACTTTCACTAACAAAACCATACATTTTTAAAAATCCAAAACTTGGTTGTATTACTTAAAAATTAAGGGTCTTTGCCGCTTTGATGGATTGGGAAAACTTTTGCTATGCAAAATGCAGTGGACACAAAATTGCAGAATTATAGGAGGAAACAGTGTTGCAGAATAATGCTTCTTATCAGATACGGCAAAAACACCAGAGGTCATTTTAATAGACAAGACCTAATTGACTATCTGCCTGGTAAGATTTTAAAATTTAATTTGAAGAGCCCTCAGTACCTATCCTCAGATCATCTTGCATATTGTACTGATTCAGTGAGAATTACATTTCACTTCTGTCTTACTTTCCGAGTAATTCTAAATCCCTCATGGCCTCTTCAACTTGCCACTTACCTTATTTTCCTTTTTTTTCTCATAATAAGTCTTTCCAGTCTCCTCGTGTTGTGTTCAGTCCCTGTGGGCTATAATGCAGTGCTGAAAGTAGTTATATGAATTTTCTTCAAATTGAGTGGGAGCTATCGGGTAAAATGAATTTTTATACAATTACCTAGTGCTCAGGGGACAATTTGAAGGTAATAAGCAGTGTGTTACAAGACAGTAATTGTAGCTTTTCAGTACATTTAATCACTTATTCTTTCTGGAATAAAAATCAAACCCCATTAAATCCCACAGTTGTAAGGACCAAAGTGCCATATACCCCAATCCTGCAATGAACTGTTTGTGGACTGAGACCATAGTTTGTAGGAAAGGCTTAGACTCTTACTATAAATCAAATAAGCAACTGATACTACTTTTTTGGAGGAATGCATAGCTTAGTGAGGTAAAATAACACGGACTTAGTAACAGCTTCCAACTAAGACCCCTAAAGTCCCAGTCCTTCAAGTGGGCGCCTCTGTTGAAATAGGAAGCAATTTATGGCAGCTGAGGAATTGCTATACAGTCTTAAACAAACAAACAAACATGCTGTTACATGGTATTAGGAAGGAACAATCAGTTTCACATATACAGAATGGGAAGCGACTGTCTAGGAAGGAGTACGGCAAAAAGGGATCTAGGGGTTATAATGGACCACAAGCTGAATATGAGTCAGCAGTGTGATGCTGTTGCAAAAAAAGCAAACATGATTCTGGGATGCATTAACAGGTGTGTTGCTGGTTAGGCCTCAGTTGGAGTATTATGTCCAGTTCTGGGCACCGCATTTCAAGAAAGATGTGGAGAAATTGAAGAGGGTCCAGAGAAGAGCAACAAGATTGATTAAAGGTCTAGAGAACATGACCTGTGAAGGAAGCCTGAAAGAATTGGGTTTGTTTAGTTTAGAAAAGAGAAGATTGAGGGGGGACATGATAGCCGTTTTCAAGTATCTAAAAGGGTGTCATAAGGAGGAGGGAGAAAACGTGTTCATCTTGGCCTGTGGGGATAGAACAAGAAGCAATGGGCTTAAACTGAGGCAAGGGAGGTTTAGGTTGGACTTTAGGAAAAAGTTCCTACTCAGCAAGGGAGGTTTAGGTTGGACATTAGGAAAAAGTTCCTAACTGTCAGGGTAGTCAAACACTGGAATAAATTGCCCAGGAAGGTTGTGGAATCCCCATCTCTGGAGATATTTAAGAGTAGGTTAGATAAATGTCTATCAGGGATGGTCTAGACAGTATTTGGTCCTGCCATGAGGGCAGGGGACTGGACTGGATGACCTCTCGAGGTCCCTTCCAGTCCTAGTATTCTATGATTATCTTTTAGGGGATTATGGGGCAGAACCAGTGTTTACTCACCCAGATGACAGAAAACTATAAAGCCAACTGTAAATTTCCTGCCGTATTTTTTTCAGGAAGAATGGCTTTTGTGCAAGAGGGGGTTTTTGTGCAAAAACGGAGTCTCATTAGTTACACAATTATGATATTCCACGTTTTGCCTAATTTGCATATTTTTTGCACAAAATGGAGGCAGTGTAGACATAGCCATAGACTTTTGAGGCCAGAAAGGGACCATTGTGATAATTTAGTCCTGGAGCAGGCAAGATACGGTCTGTGGGCCACCTGATCTTACCCATGGGCTGTCTGATCCAGCACATGGGTCTCCCCGTTGGGACCCTCCAGCAGAGAGCATCCAGACATGTGAGAGTGGACCCATGCTGCTTTAAGTGGCTGGCTGCCCTCTGTGACTCTGCTGCAGGAGCTGGGGGAGGGAGAATCTTTGAGCACTGCCCCAGCTCCCCAGCAGACTCTCTCAGCTCCCACTGGCTGAGAGATTTTGCTAGGCAGCAGAAGCAGTGTGCAAAGCCTTCCCCTCCCTCTGGTACCCAAGCAGAGAGCCCGAGGGAGCTGCCAGACATTTTGAGCAGCCTAAGGCTGCAGCAGGCTGGGAGTCTGTCTCAGGGTCCTGCAGGGCTGCTGGCCGGGAGCCACCTAGGTAAGCACTTCCTGGCCACAGCCTTCCTCTCCCTCCCTCTAATTCCCAGCCTCAGGTTACAACCCCCTGCTGCCCCAGGTAATCACCAAAACCCTGTGCAACCTCCCTCCACCCCTCATCTAAGTCACAACTCCCTCTCAGAACCTGCACCCCCTGCTACACTCCTCCTCAAGGCCAGAATCCTCTTCTGCACCCACACTCCCTCCTGGATCCTGCCTCTGCCCCAGATCACAACCCCCTCTGTCACCCAACCTCCGTCCCAGACTCTACAACCCCTCCATAGAAAAATGCAACCCTTGCCCACTTTCCAAAATCTTGGAGCGCCCCCCCATAAAAAAATTATTGCCCACCCCTGATCTAGTGTGACCTCCCCAGTCCTGCAAACAGGGCATGTGCTTAAGTTAATTTCTGTGAGTAGCCTCAGTAGAGTCAATATGACTACGTGTATGTTCAAAGTTAAGCATGTGTGTATGTCTTTGCAGAACTAGGGTGTAAGTGTTACTTGTAACAACAATAGGTAAAAAATTTCCAGAAAAAAGCATGTGGCCATATCCTGATTTGGTGCACAGCGGTGTAGTTTTATGGGCTTCAGTGGAGCTACACTGATTCGTGATCGATGCAGTTCTGGCATGTGATTTTTAAGGTTGACGCTGTCCCTTTAAAATTAACTCCTGAACTTTCTTCTCTCTCTTGTATTTTGTGCCTGAATGCTGAATGGCTAGAGTGGACCCTAATATTTCTTTAAATAGATCCCCTTTGAAAAAATGTTTCTCTCTCTACTCAGAATATATCTTAGCGCCTATTTTCTTGTACATATTTATTCTTATAATAGTATCTCTTCAGATGGCGAAGAACATTTTTATTGAGAAAGCTGAGAAAATTAAAAGGATCGTTCACGGTAATTCTTTCCTGAAAAAGAGACGTTGCTTTGGAGGTTAGGCTCCTTTTCCAAGCAAAAGTTTCTGCTACTGTAAATTATGTTTAGTGTTTTTTGGTCTTGAAGAAATAAACATGGTACTTTCACAAGTTTAGTTTTGTAATGTATGAAAGGACAAATACTCATAACTGTGAGCAATGTAACATGGATGAATCTAAGTCCTGGTCTGGTACTTTCACAAGTTTAGTTTTGTAATATATGAAAGGACAAATACTCATAATTGTGAGCAATCTAACATGGATGAATCTAAGCCCTGATCGATACTCTACTCAAATTTGTAAGTGGAGTGTCCACACTACTAAGCCCGTTATTTTAAAATAACAGGCTGGTTATTTTGAAATATGTACTCCTGCTTTCCTTGGGGAATAACGCTAATTTCGAAATAGCGCTAGTGAGGACTCTTTGGCGATGCCAGTTCAAAATAATTGGCCTCCAGAGGCCTCTCACAGCTGCAGCTCTGACCCTTCTGGCCACACCTGCCATCTCCACCACTCCCCTTCTCTTGCAGAGCTTAAAACTCCCAGCAGAAGGAGAAGGGCTTCTTGCATATAAATAGATAAAATAATGGAGATTGCCTGTCTCCGAGAACTGGAAGGAACCTTGAAAGGTCATTGAGTTGAATCCAGTCCCCTGCCTTCACAGCAGGACCAAGTACCATCCCTGACAAATTTTTGCCCCAAATGGCTTCTGCAAGAATTGAATTCACAACCCTGGGTTTAGCAGGCCAATGTTCAAACCACTGAGCTATCCCTCCCCCCATGGCTAGCCTTGGAAGCTCCATGCAAGACAGCAGCCAGCAAGGGAGCCATGAGTGACCCCAACACTCCCTTAGAACTCCCCATGGCTGCCAGCATTTCTCCTGCTCCCTCAGCTGCCACTGGCCAGGGACACAGGAGAGCTCCGGCCTGGGCTGGTGCAGAGATCTCGGACCTCATTGAAGTCCAGGGGGAGGAGACCAACCTCCAGGATCTCCACACCAGAAAGAGGAATGTGGAGATCTGGCTGGATTGCCACCAGCCTGGCCGACAAAGGCCAAACCCAGACACTGGACCAAGTCCGCATGAAAATCAAAGAACTCTGGCAGATCAACCACAAGGCCAGAGAGCAGAGCGGATGCTCCAGGGCAGCACCACAGAGCTGCCACTATTACGAACAGCCATCCCGTAAGGGGAGCTGGTCACCTCCCCCCTGTCATCATGGAGTCCAGCCGGAACATGCCTAGCGTCAGCCTCCATGAGGGCAGAGTGGTGGTGAATAAGGAGGAGGAGGCCATCCAGGTGACCATGCCTGCCAGCCAGGACCTGTGCCTGATCCTGGAGCCAGTTCCTCCCTCCCAGATGTCTCCCAGGCTTCAGATGAACCCGGGGAAGGCACTTCAGGTGAGTTCTATAATTTTCCAAATCTACACGTGGGGGCAGGTGATGGGCAGACAGAGGCTGCACGCTCCTCTCAGCCTACTCGGCCTCAGAGCTGCACAACAGCCTGTGCACATGGGGGCACATGGAGCGCTAGTCCAGAGCACTCAGCCTCATGACACTCTCACTCAGTAACCCCTTGATCCTTCTCACAAGGTTCCTGGAGAGGCCTGACTTACTCCAGCCTCCGTGGTGAGACACCTTCCCATGACAGGGCACCGCTAAGGAGGCTGGGGTCATGAAACCACACAGCAGTGCCGCACATGGCATAGGGTCATGCCCGCACTCAGGCAGCATTCGCTCCTGATCCAGCGTGGTGATACAGAGGGGACCGATCCCCTGCATGGGAACCTGCTCGGGGGAGGAAGTGGTGGGGAACCCAGCAGCACTCTCCCCAGCACCCGCGAGCCTGTGCACATGGGGGCACATGGAGCTCTAGTCCAGAGCACTCAACCTCATGACATTCTCACTCAGTCAAGTCCCCCCTTCCCAGCAGGCAGGGATAGCAATTCTGTCTCTGCAGGACACCGCCAGTGCTGGACCTGGCGTGTGTGGGACACAGAAGGAAGCTGAGCTGCCCTGCCCCTCCCCTGCTTATGCCTGCAGGCTCCTGGCCTGGTTGACACCTTCCCATGCCTGCTTGTCCCCGGGCTGTGGGTATTGCGATGCTCCCCTAAGATGTCTGTGCCCCTGCTGGAAAGTGCCCACTGTCTAGGTAACATAAGACCTTGCTCAAAGCATATCGCCATCATCTGACCCGAGACCTTGGTGTCGGCTCAGAGATTAGGGCTCAGCTTCATACACAGTGTCTCCTGGGATGACTGCCCTTGTAACTTTTCTTCACAGCTAGGCCAGCGCAAGCTTGGTGCATCCCTCACCTCCCATGACATCTGCCCAACTCTGTGGGATCCGCAGGAGGAAACGCACCCACAAGGACCTGATGCAGGAACAGATGGCCTGTCTGCAGTCCTTCGTCTGGGGGCTTGAGGATAAGTGCCAGGAGTGGGCCACCAACCAGAAAGAGAACCGGGCTGATCAGGAGCAGTGGAAGGCTGCATGGGATGAGCTGGCGAGCCAGCATGATGCCATGTGCTCCTCCCTCATCTCAGTGATGGAGTTCATGGCATCATGAATGGAGTGGGTCAGCATCCTCACCACCCTTCCCCCTAGGGTTACCGGGTCCCCAGAACATGGGGTGGTGGGACCTCTCAGGCAGCTGAACCCTCTCGACCAGCTGGAGGCAGGCGCCAGCCCCAGCCCCAAGTCCCGAGCCCCGAGTCTCCCCTTCTTCCCCCTCCCCCATTCTAGGTTCTTCCCCAGTCCCTCCCCAGTTGTATGTCCCCCCAATAAATAGCCCTGTTGTGCTGGCGAGCCAGCATGATGCCATGTGCTCCTCCCTCATCTCAGTGATGGAGTTCATGGCATTTGAAGAAACATGGCTTTATTATTTGCGCTGCAGGGAAGAGGGGATGGCAAGGGTGCGTGATGAAAGGCACATAGACGGAATGCAGGGGGCCTTTGTGGAGAGGCACAGGATAGAGTCTCACAACTGGCCTTGCACAAAAATCTCCCTCAAGACCTCCTTGATGGGCACAGCCCCTTGATGTGCTCTCCTGATGGTGCTGGACTCTGGCTACTCAATCGCCTTGGCCAGCTGTTCAGCCTCAGCCTCCCTACCCTGGCAGAAAAGTTTTCCCCTTGCTCTGACAAAGGTCATGGAGCACACAGCAGGCCACCACCACAAAGGGGATGTTGCATTTACTGAGGTCCAGACGGGAAAGGAGACTTCTGAACCTCCCCTTTAAACAGTCAAATGCACCTTCCACCACCACGCAGCACCTGCTCAGCCTGGTGTTGACACGCTCCTTGGTAGGATCCAGGCTGCCCGTGTGGGGCTTCATGAGCCAAGGGATAGGCTGCGTCACCCAGGATTATGATGGGTATGTCCACCTCCCCAACTCTGAGGGTGACACGCTCCTTGGTAGGATCCAGGCTGCCCGTGTGGGGCTTCATGAGCCAAGGGATAGGCTGCGTCACCCAGGATTACGATGGGTATGTCCACCTCCCCGACTCCGAGGTTGAGGGTGGGGAAAAAAGTGCCAGCGTGCATCTTTCAGAACAGGCAGGAGTTCCGGAAGATGTGGAAATTGTGCACTTTTCCCAACCACCTGATGGTGTCAGTGAAGCATCCCTTGTGATCCAAGAGGGCTTGCAGCACCATGGAGAAGTGCCCCTTCCTGTTGATGTAGTCTGAGGCATAGTGGATGAGGGCCAGGATGGGGATGTGTGTGCCGTCTATGCCCCTCCTCCACACCTGGGGAAACCCATGGGGGCAAATCTATCAATGATGCTGTCCACATTCTCCAGACTGCTGACCCACTATAACAGGACCTGGTTGATGGCAGGAGCACAGCCCCAACTGTGGATTTCCCCATGCTGAACTGGTTCCTGACCAGTGGTAGCTGTCTGGTGTGATGAGCTTTCAGAGAACCATGGCCATGTGCTTCTCCATGGGGATGGTGGGTCTTATGCGCGTGTCCTGTCTAGATTTGTTAATGTGTAGTCAGCTACACAATTAGCTGATAAGACTTGGCTTATCGGTTAATCTTATCAACTGCATGTACTCTCTCTTTTGAGGAGAGGCGGGAGGTGGTGCCAGTGGGGAGCTGGTTTTAAGCAGGCTCCTTGTGAGCACTGGATATGCCTGCCCTCCCACCCCGCAGTGCTGCCTCTGATAGAGAGGCAGCAGTGCAGAGGGTGAGGGGAGCAGACTAGAGCCAATACAGGCAGCTCCCATTGCCCAGAAACCAGCCAATGGGAGCTGCAATATTTTTCAGGGCTTGGGACAGTGTGCGAAGCTTCTCCACCCATCCTGCAATGTTCAGAGAGCTGCTCTGAGCAGCAGGCAGGGGCGAGGCAGGCAGGGAGCCTGGTGGAGGCTTTCATGAGCCATATCTGGACTGTGGGCTGTATTTTGCCCACCCCTGGCCTACGCTATGTGGAACCTTGAACTAGCGTTATCCTTTTATATGCTCTACAAGGTGAAGGACAAAACAGATAAATATGATATCATTGAGAATTCTGTGTCTACTCTGTACCCTTGACAAGTGTGACTTACGGGACTTGGTTTCCCACCTCCATAAACCATTTGTTTGTTTTGCTTGGATCATGGATAGGTTACTGATAACCAAAGCCTTGTATGTTTCAGACAAAAATTCAGGTTATCTTCAGAGGCTCAAAATAATTGTGATTTATGATTTTACATTGTGGGTTTTTTTTCAAGATGGTGTCATGTTTTCGTAATGAGCAGTCTGAGGACAATATTACTTTTGCAAACTACAATTAAATAATAGTAGCAAACTAGCAAATGTATCCTTGCATTTCAAGGAAACAACCTAATTTATCAATTTATATCTGAATTAATTCTAGTCTAATTCTTATGTTACAATTATGAAATAAATAATATGCTGTGTGAGAAATTGTCGTGATTAAAGCAATTTACAAAACAGATTAGTTACCACAACTCCTGGGCATGTGCGCACATGCGCGCGCGCGCGCACACACACACACACACACACAACCAGTTTTTAGTTTTTCTTCTTTTGCTGAGTTGGCTGAGTGTCACTTCTTAATATGATTGATGTTTTTTACCAGATAAAATTTAGATCAAACAATCTATTAAATAATTATGGAAGTGTGATCTATTGTTACAGCTGCAACTGGATGATAAATAGAGGCAACTAATCCTTTTCGGAAAGACAGGTTGACACTACTTTAAAAATGGGTGTTTGGGAGAAAAATGCGATTATAATGAGTATTTTTGGAAAAGAGTGATAATGAATGTAAAAGAAAAGTAAGAAAGATGTGGAATAGTTAAATAGTTATTACATGTTTCTTTGTGTTTTTCTGTAAAAAAGATTGGGGGGGGGGGGGGGGAGAGGAGAAGAAGAGGAAGGGATGACAACATTTTAAAAGTAGAAGCTTCCCAGATGATTAGACCTTAGTTTAGAAGCAATTGCCAGCCCAGTTATTTTGCCAGGAACTGGGAATGATCCATCCCCTCTTCTGTAGCTTACTTGTTGATTCCATGCTCTGTTCATTCCCTCTGAAGCACCTGGCATTGGCCATTGTGGGCAGACAGGGTATTGGGCTGGATGGATCATTGGTCTGACCCCTTATGACCATTTTTATTATTAGAATCCTTTTTTACATATATACAATATGAAATGTCTATTGAGTCCAGATTTACATTGTATTTATGGAACAATGATCTAATGTAAATACCTAATACTAATGCAGCTTCATTACACGGGAGTAGTTTTATATTGCTTTTTCACAGTGCAGTCCTAAAATTGCAGATTTTTTTCAGCTAAGAAACAATGGAAATACACAATGCAATAAGTCAAGAGTCTGACCAAAATCTTCAAACCAGAACGCCTAAAGCTTGTCTCTTATGTCTTTATTGGGACACCTAAATAAGTAGCCTAAATTTCAAAAGTACTGAGCTCCTAGTAAGGTCCTATTGAACTCAACTCAGGACAATTAAATAAAAAATTGTACATCAATGTAATGTTAATGTTGCAATTTAAGCAATTCAAAGGCAGGAAATACAAAGATGAGTCATGGTTCCACTGACATCTGGCGAATCTCCCACTGACTTAAACCATATTTCATCCCACATTCTCACAGTAACTTGCCATATTGGCTGGCATGTCTTCATTTCGTCGAGACAATGGGATCCACACTTTCCTAAGAAATTCATGATCAAACCCATAGACTATTTTGGATTCAGTGTATCCCTTAATATACAGAGGCTCAAATTCTCTGAGATACTCACTAATAACTTCAAGAAAGAGTTAGCTTGAATGTGCAAGTCAAATGTGGCTAAGATCATTATGAAAACTATAACTTTTGCATTTCCCCATACTGGAATATTTAATTTGTTCATACACTTCCTTCGCCCATATTAAATAATAATGAGGATAGAACAGTCAGCGAGAGAGTGACTTGATTTCCCTGGTAAGTTGGGCCAATTAAAACAAAACCTGTTTTAATTAAGCCAAATTAAAGTTTACACCTATAGGAGCAAGCAGGGCTGGACGGAGGCATTGGGAAGCCAAACAGCTGCCCAGGGTGCCAACCAATGGGGGACGCCTGATGGCAGCTGTAAGGGGCGCATGGCATCCCTTACAGCTGCCATCAGGTGCCGTACGCCCCTCCCCCGCAGCACCGGCCCGCCCACATCCCCGCGGCGCTGGCCAGCAATGTCCTTCCCCCCCATGGCCGCGGGGCACTACACGGCCCAGCACATGTGCCAGCAGCAACAGCTGGGTTGGACTGGGCCGCGCTTGCGCCGTGCACCCCAGGGGCGGGCCTGTGCACCCTAGGGGGGTGGGCCTGCTCCCCACCGGCGGGCCCACGCATGTGCCGTGCGCCTGGGGGCGGTGCCGCACACCTGTGCCCAGGATGCCAGAATGCCTTGGGCCGGCCCTGGGAACAAGGAATGTACACCTGTATGTGGGGAGGGAGTTTAGAAAGCCATGACTCTGAAAAGCATCCAGGGATCAACAATTAAACATGAACTCTCAGTGCAATGCTGTGGCAAAAAGGACTAATGTGATTCTTGGATGTATTATAGACATGCCCACAGATAGCACCAAAATAAAATTAACAAGAAATGAGCTTAACTCAAAAACCGTGAATAATTTACAAGTCTAATAAAACAGTTCTGAGCTTAAGAATATTCATGAAAGCCTGACAGAGTAAATCAAGGAGATACTTCTTCCACAGTCATGATGTTTGGCTGACTGCCCAGGCGGTGAAATAGTCCCCCCAAAGGACTGAGCTAGAAAAGAAATTGCAAGATGCAGGAAAATATGCTAGGAACAAAGCTAAACAATGGAGAGTGGGTCAGCATTGAAGCAAGATCTTCACCTTTATAGCAATGAAACTGGTCACAAGCAACATTATTCTAAACTGGACTTTAAAATCCCCCCCCCCACCACCACCAATCAGCTAAATGTTCCCAAAATAAATAAACAATAAATTAGAAGCCAATGTTTCATTAGCAGATTTTTCCCCCTTCCCACTTGTTGAAGTCCCCCATGTAAAATGCTGCTGGTCTCTTGGTTAGCATTGTCCGCTAAGTCAGACTGCAGGGCAGGAGGGAGAGTTTCATCTGCAGCAGGGAAACTGAAGCCTGAGGTGAGCACAGACAGAACCTGTCTAGAAAGCAGCAGGATCTAAAGAAGGCATCCAGGCAAATAGAATTCCGGAAGGGGATGAGTGTATTTCCTCATTTTCCTTGTGCTGCTCCATTCAAGTGAGGCTAGAAACCCCTGAGTAGTGGGTACAGAGATGTTGTTTTGCAGAGGTGTCCTCTGTTTAAATCACCTTTACCCAAACAAGTTAGTGGGACCAGTGGGGAGAAACCATCAGACAATGGGGACATCTGGGTCTAGAGGCAGTCCCTGAAAGTGGCTACTGTCTCTCACTCTTGCCCAGGAAATGTTATTCAGCTGATCAGGAACTTCCAAAGGAATCTGGATGGAATCAAACAAGGGACTGGCTGTTTTTGCATTCATCACGAAAACGACTATTTTATATTTTTACCTTTCCCAGGAAGTGCATTGAGCAGCAAAATAACTCCAAACCCTGTAATCATCCCTATATTATTTCTATATTATTATTTTTACGTGGCATTGGATCCCCTGGAGAGGGTGTTGAAAGACAATACGCCAACGATACGGTATCAAAGAAATCCACCAGATTTTGAGGTTACTAAACTAGCCTGCAGGTAGGCTGTTTGGATCAATGTTAGGCTAGATTCAGCCCTCTCCTCTGCGTAGTGCACATCTAGTGGCACGTGCAACTTGGGTATTCCCAAGGCTAACAGGATCTCTCTTCCCCGCAATCCCTGCCCGCCTGCTAGGCTGCAGGCTGGCAGTCACTAAGGGTACGGGTATATCTACGCTGCATTCCTCTTTCAAACGAACTGCGGATTTGAATTTCCCGTGCTTCATTTGCATAATCGCATCCGGCCGCTTTTTTGAAATACCCTATTTCGAAAAAAGAAACGCTGTCTAGACGCAGCTATTTCAAAAGAAAACCCTTCTTTCGAAATTACCCTTACTCCTTATAAAATGAGGTTTAAGGGTAATTTCGAAAGAAGGGTTTTCTTTCAAAATAACTGCGTCTAGACAGCGTTTCTTTTTTCGAAATAGGGTATTTCAAAAAAGCGGCCGGATGCGATTATGCAAATGAAGCACGGGAAATTCAAATCCGCAGTTCGTTTGAAAGAGGAATGCAGCGTAGATATACGCTACAGTTGGAAGGTGGGTGCTGTGCATGCGCTGGTGGAAGCCCCCCACTGGGCTATGTAAGTTTGATTCTGGGGTCCCTTCTTTCCCCAGCTGTGATGTTCAGGGCATATTGCTGCCTCTCTTCTCTCTCGCCTGGGGAGATGCAGGCCCTGGTGTCTCCCATGGCCAAGGCTGTCTTTCTAGTGCTCTTTCTTTTTGCCTCATTATTAATTTTGTGTGTTTCTTTGATACATTTGCAGAGACGCAGACAACGACTACACCTGAATACAGATTGAGATGGATCTGCGCTGGGCCCCAAGTTGTGCAAGGTAACACAGGTGCAGAGGTATAGGCAGCCCCTTGCTCTTTCTCAGGCTCAGGGAAAGGGGCGCTATATGCGAATAATAGGCAATTGCAGCCTTTGCAATTTGGGAGGAATCACTGGCCAGACCCCCACCCCAAACACATGTATTGTAATTGACAAGCTATAAGTAAACAATACCCCTGGGAGTTCACAGGAAAACGGCAGCCTTGCTAATAGTGTTTTTTCCTTCTTCCCTCCCTTTGAACTGTTAAATCCTTTTACCTGCTTTGATGCTGAGCAAAACCAAAACTCAGTTAATACAAGTGCAGTAACTCCTATTCACAATTTGCAGATTTCAGCCTTAACCAGAGCCAGGGTGTGGTTGAGGCAGGATGTGTGTTAATTTCCTCTTGTCTGACTTGCTTTTGCAAAAACAGAAAAGTGCGGTGCATATCTGATGTAGTATGTAGAAGAGAGGGCTGAATCTAACATAACATTGATCCAAACAGTGCATTTGCAGGCTGATTTAGTAATCTCAGAATTTGGCTGATTTCTTTGATACCTTGCGCGTAGGGACTTGATACTGATAGAGTGCCTAAATAAATAGCCGGTTCCTGCTCCTTTGAAGCCAGTAGCAAATCTCCCAGGCCCTTGTTCCTCGTGACCACTCATATTCTGGTGCAGGACTTAAGGTGGGGAGGTAAAGATGGCTGAGTGATAGTGGTTAGTCAGTCCACTGGCATAAGATAGAGCAGCCTCATGGGTGCTCTAAAATATGGAGCCTTGTAATGGCCTTTGAGATATTGTTGTAACATTTGGGGAATTGGTGGAGTATAACACACTCATGACCCCAGTGTTGGAGGCTACATTCTTTCTGTTTTGATTGGGGATTCCACGATGCTGCAGGAATTCTCACCTGGCTAATCTAGCTAACTTGAAGGCAGCTTTGGGACGTTGCTTGATTGGGTTGAGCAAGGATTGTTCATTTGGAAGCAGGAGGACCAGTGCTGTTTGTCCAAAGTCAATGCCAATATCTCCATGGGAGCAGGGCTGGGCCCATGCTGTACTTGTCAGAGGTTATCTGTACTTAACTGTACATTTCATTACTTCATCCATTTGTGTCACAACCTCAATATGAATATTTTAGGTGGCATGATTACAGCTTTTCTTTTAATAAGCTGTAAAAATCCTTGAACTAATATGAGATTTGACCTAGCTCCCATTAATGGCACCTTCTGATGTTGTCACTATGTAATTTGTTCATTGATATATTCTCAGGGGATCTTTTGAAGAGTTTTGTTTTCAATCACTGTTGAATGCTGAATGCCAGAGATATTGCAGGGCTGATTTTCATATTTTATTTTCAGTTCCCACTTTGTGCTTGTTTGTTTAATTGCCCAAAGTAATAGTCATCTGAATTCTAAACACCAACTAGTTAAAGGGCAAAATTTCCCCCCTTTCCTAGTTTATTGAATAAATAGAGTTAAACAAGTGGCTTTTAAAATGTCAAAACACCACAAGCTATTTGGTATTTTATGAAAGTATTGATTTTTCTCTTTAGGAGACATTATTGTGCAACAAAAGTAGCATATTTTTAAATATGAAAAGTCTTAATTGTAGCCTGTTCTAATGTCAGGCCATATAAAGTTTGCTAGTGGCAACATAATATAAACAAAAGAAATAACATTGAATATTATAATAAAATACAGAAGTCTATCTATCTATCTATCTATCTATCTATCTATCTATCGTTGTTTTATTGCTGAGTGCTGATATATCCAGGTAGAATATTCAAATGTTTTCCTGGCAAAATTCACTCTGTGGTCTATTAATGCTCCACAACACTTCAACTCAACTGCAAAGTGATTTATGCTAGAGACAAGGTGGGTGAGGTAATATATTTTATTGGACCAACTTCTAGAGCTCAGGAAGAGCTCTGTGTAAACTTGAAAGTTCTCTCTTTTGCCAAGAGAGGTTGGTCCAATGAAAGGTATTACTTCACCCACCTTGTTTCATATCTTGGGATCAATTCACATACAACACTTCACCCAACATTATTTCTGTGACTTATTTGTGTAGGGGTATTAAACTGGTATTAAACTATCTCTTGTCCAGAGGCAGGCAAAATACGGCCTACTGGCCAACCAAGCTGCCGGATCTGGTCCATGGCCCAGCGGGCACCTCAGACAGGCTCCCTGCCTCTCCTCCCGCCTGCCACCCTGGCTCACAGCGTTCAGAGCAGCACACATAGCCCCTGCAGCCAGCTGCTCTGAGTGGCTTGTGGGGGCATAGAGGGCAAGGAGCCTGCCTGAGGAACCTGCTGGGCTGCTGGCTGGGAGTTGCCCAGGTAAGCACCTATCAGCCAGAGTCCACCTCTAACACCCCAGACCTTCCCTCTTCCAATCCTTTGCACTCCTGCTCCTGCACACATGGCCCCTCCCAGACCCTGCACCCCAATCCTTTGCCCCAGCTCACAACCCTCTCCTGCTCTAGGTCACAACCCACCCCCATCCCACATAACCCAAACCCTCTGGACCCCCATTACTGCACCCATATCCCCTCCCAGACCCTGCACCTCAATCCCTTGCCCCAGGTCACTACCCAAACCCCACAACTCCTTCCTTCATCCAAACACCGTTGCAGATCTGCCCCCCCCATGCCACAGTCCATCACTGCAACCTCCATCCAGACCCTGCATCTGCTCCATTAATATCATAGAGGAATGCAGCCCTTGATCACTTACCAAATTCTTGGAGTGGCCCCCCATCAAAAATTATTGCCCACCCCTGATCTAGTCAGTTTACCACTCAGTTCAATTACAGTACCTGTTATGTTTGAATTTTAGTTCAGAATTTGATATGACTCTTGTACATTTCTACTGACATTTAAATGACATTGTCATTGCTGCTAAGTTTAAATACAGGAAACCCCACCTTATGATGGCCCGAGTTGCAACCCCCTGCACTTATGACCATTTTTGTAAGTGCGGAAGGGGCTGAAAAACCCCGACTTACGTCCTCGGCCCACATTTACGACAACGCCTATTGTAAACGTGGGTTCGAGTTACGACACCCCCGACTTGCGATGCTTCCCCAGGAACCGATCGTGTCACAAGTCAGGGGCTGCCTGTAATGCATCAAAAACTTTTGGACATCACAAAAAAGGGCAGGAAGTATTTCAAACCTTTGCTTTCTTTAGACCAACAACTTTATTTTTCCAATGGAGCTTTTGAAATACAACCATGGGGTTTTAAAATAATTTGCTTTCCAGTGCAAAGTTAACAACCTGTTCCTTGAAACAATACTTATGTCTTGTCTCTCAGGGAGGGGGGGAGGGGGAATATGTATTCTTCTTGAGTTCGCAGCTATGAAATCCTAATAAAGACCAGGCAGCCTGTAATTAATAGGGCAAGTTAAAGACTGAGGTGCTAACTTCAGTGAAAACTACCAAAAGCCTTGTTCCTACTAGAATTTTATCTCACACTAGCTAATCAGAGTTAAGAAAACACCTTCCTTTCTCTCGCCCACAACCCATCAAGCGAGAAGGCCTGGCTAGAGTTTGAATTATGGGGAGAAAGTAGGGACATCCTTGAGTATTGAGTGACTTGCTTTAATTTAAACAGCAGTGAGAAGTAAGGAGGGGAGGGCATAAGAGAGAAGTGAAGTAGCTCTTAGAAGTATGGATTGATCTTGCAGACCTTTTGTGTGTAGAATGCAGACTGCGAAATTTACATTGAAATCACATGAAGGGATTCGTAAAATCAGACTTCATATTGTATGCCCTCTTCCTTGATTGTAAACATCTTCCTAATTATATACTAGGTATTTTTATGTCTGTATGTATTTTATTACTGTTGCAGGTTGGACCTCCCTCGTCCAGCACCTTCACGGTCTGATTGGCCCTGAATGAGCATTATTACTGTTGCAGGTTGGACCTCCCTCGTCCAGCACATTCACGGTCTGATTGGCCCTGAATGAGTGAATTTGCCAGACCAAGAGAGGTCCCCAGCCATCGGCCTCCCGGTCCACTGCCTCTCCCAGCTGATGATTCCGCTTTTGGCTCCAGCCCCACTGCTGCCAGACTGTCCACTGCTGCCAGTCTCGGGCTCCAGCCCCAGTCCCCCAGCCGCCGGCAGGGGTGGGGCTCCCTGAGGCTGGAGCTCCCCAGCCAGCCCCGGCTCCGCTGCATCTGGCCTGGCTGGGGCTCCCTGGCATTGGGACTACTCCATTGCCATTGGCCCCACAGCTACCGGTCCGGCCAGGGCACCCTGTGGTAGCTGAGTCCTTATCTCCCTTGAATATCCCAGTGGGATTGGAACCTCTAGAGCCACCACACAGAGCTAACCACTTAACTTGCTGCAGCGGTAGGCTGTTATCTTTAACAGGGAGTAAGACATTGTGCACGTGAGGTTCCCAGACATTTGCTCACAGCAGAGGATGGGTGAGTTTCAGGAACCTTGGGTTTCATTTCAGACACTGGAGCAAAATGAGTTCCTGTCTCTTTTTTCCCCCTGGCTCCTCCTTTTGCAGGCTTCTCTTCCTAGTTTCCTACCCCAGCCATTCCCAGCTCTTCCTGTAGTGGGATTCACTTGGGGGCCAGCAAACCAAGTGGAGCTCTCCCAGCCAGATGGGCGGGAGAGGGGGCAGGGAAAGGAAAGGTGGGTGCAGGTTCTCCCTCTACACAAGCCCCAGGCAAAGGGGCAAGGAATGTCTCTGCCTTCATTTAGTGACACACCTGACCAGCTTGGCCTCGGCCTCATCCAAACTCCCCATTCTCTGTCCCCAAATCCAGAAGAGTGCCCAGTCAGGCCCAACAGTTAAATCAAATGGGGACGTCCCAGCTCATTTCTCAGCATCCCGTCATTCTCCCTTGTCAGAGAGCAGAGGCAGACTCCTTGTCAGGTCTAACCCACTGACCAGACTCTGCGGCTCTCTCTCTTTCTGAAGCTGTGACCTGGCTTCCTTCCGACACAGCTTGCTTTCTTCCTTGGTTTCTAAGGGCAGCAGCCTCAGCGAAGCAACGCCT